TATTTTTGGGACAGAGAGAGACAGAGCATGAACGGGCGAGGGGCAGAGAGAGAGGGAGACACAGAATCGGAAACAGGCTCCAGGCTCTGAGCCATCAGCCCAGAGCCCGACGCGGGGCTCGAACTCACGGACCGCGAGATCGCGACCTGGCTGAAGTCGGACGCTTAACCGACTGCGCCACCCAGGCGCCCCTTTTATTGTTTATTCTTGAGAGAGAGAGTGAGAGCGTGAGCGGGGGAGGCCCAGAAAGAGGGAGACACAGAATCAGAAGCAGCCTCCAGGCTCTGAGCTGTCAGCCCAGAGCCCACCAGGGGCTCGAACCGCGAACCGTGAGAACATGACCTGAGCAGAAGCGGGACGCCCAAGCAACTGAGCCACCCAGGGGCCCCAGAAGTGTTCTGATTCAGAAGTAGCCACTCCTTCTACCTTATTACATCACTGACACCTGCTCTAGGAACACAGTAGAGGGACACTGGGGCAAATACATGATGGCAGTTATGCTTTACTCTAGCGCCTGCCTGGGGATTCATCTGAATCTGGTCAAATGTGGCTTGTGATATGACAGTGCCCATATTCTCTGCTTCGTCCCCAGCCAACTCTTAACTTTGTTCAGTTCCTTCGTGTTCACTCCACCACTGAGCTTTGGCCAGCTTGCTTCTCTCCTTGTCCAATAATCTCTACTCCAAAGGTGTCTGTGAGGATTAAGGAACACATGTAAAGCATCCAGTACATTGCCACCTTACTCTCTCCTTCCCTTCTAGCACACTCTCCACCCACCCTGTTCTTGTTTCAAAAGCTTCCTCTCAAGTCAAACCTCCTCAAGAATTGGCTGGTCTGAGTATGCCTGTGAGGGTTCATTTTATGGGTTATGTGACTGGAGTCTGGATGCCCAGAAAGGTGGTAAAATACTATTTTGGGGGGGTGTGTCTCTGAGGGCATTTCTGAAAGACATTGGCATTTGAACGGGTGGACTGAGTAAAGAAGATCACCTCACCAGTGGGGGTGGGTATCCTGCAATCCAGTGGGGCCCTGAATGGAACAAAAAGGCAGAGGAAGGGTGAATTTGCTCTCTTTTGAGCTGAGACATCCATCTTCTCTACCCTCAGACATTGGCGCTCTTGATTCTCAGGCCTTTGGATTCAGACTGAATTATACCACCAGCTTTCCTGGGTTTTCAGCTGGAAGACAGCAGATCGTGGGACTTCTTGGCCTCCAGAATCACGTAAGCCTATCCCTGTGGTATATAAAATATAAATATGAATATAAAAATATGGAACATAAAAACATAAAAATATATAATATTGACTCAATAAATGTTATCGATGTAATATATAATATATAAATAGTACATATGATGTCATATGTTTTTTAAATCTACATAAATATAGATATAAATTACACATAGATAGCCATTCTGCTAAGGGGCCTTTGCATTAGAAACATGATGCTACTGTCTCCTTGAGCTGGAAGACATGAATGAGACTGGACCGAGTTCTCATAAAACGCTGTGTGCACTGTTGTTCAGTTTGCTTGGAATGCAGAGTTCTTCTGAGTAATATTATATAGTTATGAGGTCAAGTATTGTGTGCCTCCCCGGTGGATCGTAAGCTCATTGGGAGGCAACGCTTTGATTTATTCAGCACTGTATTCCTGGTGCCTAGAATTGTGCATGGCTCAAAGGAAGCACTCAATCATTGTTCCATGAATGAATGAATGAATGAATGATAATAGCTACTATTCATTAGACAGTTACTATGGGCCAGTGTTGTAAGTGCTTTACATTTATCATACCCACTCAGTTGTTGTGATAAGCCAAAGCAACTACCGTTGGCCCCATTTCATAGACGTGTTGAGTCACTTGCCCAAAAGTTTAGTAGGTTTTGTGGCTCGGTATAAGGGGCACAACTGGATCTTGCCAGGACAGTGTGATTCTATAGCCCGAACTCTTAGCTGCTAAGCTTGTATGGTCCTGGGACCAGCAGCAGCATCCCCCTGGGAACTTGTTAGAAATGGTAATTATTCTTCTCCCCACCCAAACCCACTGAATGTGCAACTCTGGGGGTGGGCCCAGCCATCTGTGTTGTAACAGGCCCTCCAGGGAATTCTGATGCACTCAAGTTTGAGAACCACTGCTCTACCCTCTACTGCTTTTCAGTTCCTGAACATCTGATCACTTCACTTTCTAGGAAAGAGAATGCCACTCACGTGCGTACGCTGGAAGAACAAAGGTGTCCATTTAATGTTGTGAGTGTGTTTGTGTTTGTTTTTGTTATTAATCGAACTTTGGGCAAGTTACTTAATGCCTTTGGACCTCAGTCTTGGCATTTGTAAAATGGGCAGGGGTAGGGGGCTGGACTAGAGACAAGGATGGCATTAAAAGCATCTGAAGATTTTACAAAATTCCAGTACCTGAAGTCCAGCCAGACCCATTAAAGTTGGCCTCGGGGTGGGGTGGGACCAGGGATTGGCATTTTAAAAAGCTTCCGAGGTGGTTCTAACAGCCAAAGTTGAACTAGGGCCTATCCTAAGCCAATCACAGCAATCTTCGTCCCCTGATTGGCGTAAAGGTGAGCATGTGACCCAGTTCTGCCCAATGAAATGTAAGGGAAAATGGCAAGGTGGCAGGAGGTGGGGGTGGGAAGGGGTCCCTGTGGGAAAATTTTCCCCGTTTGAACCCTGTGGATCCTTGCCCTGGGTGATCTTTAGCTTTAAAGAGAAAGAGATAAAGACCAAAATTACAAACTCACATGTCTCTAAGCAGCCTGGGAGTTAACTACGGCCTGCGTCTAGGGTGGCGGAGTTTGTAGATGAAAGATTTAAGCAGGAAAGGACTGTAGGAAGGAAGTACTCACCATCAGTCACAAGACTGGAGACCCCGACTTCGCAAATGGGGCAAAGACGGCCCAAGGAACTGAAACCAAGGTCAAAAGTAGGCCACGGAACCAAGCCAGTAAGGAAAGTGCAGCTACTGCGGACCTTCGGAGGCTACTACCCCCGCTGCCGCTAGAAACTGGATGTCGCTTTCACCAATTCTGCTGTCAGGGAGAATTCACCAATTGTCTGCTGCACTGGATGCTAACTAAAGCTAGCGCCCCGTTAAAAGCCTGGGGGAGACCTGCGTAATTGTCCAGGCCCAGGTCACATGCTAGTGAATCCCCGGTATGTAGCTTGAATGTCGGGAAATGACCCCGCCTCCCACCAGGACTTGGAAACTGAGGACATCCTTGAATGTAGGGGAAGGGTGCAGATACCGGTGGCCAAAAGATCATAAACGTCCACACAAACGTCCACTCTGCCAGTATTTGGCCACGAGGGACGGCCTCCAAATGTTGCCAGCACTTCTGATTTTTTAAAGGAAATCAGAAATTTAGATGTTTATGTGAAATTACTGTAAACATGGGCAACTAATTAAATTTCTTTTTTTTTTTTTAACGTTTATTTATTATTGAGAGACAAGAGAGACAGAGCATGGGCATGGGAGGGGCAGAAAGAGAGGGACACACAGAATCGGAAGCAGGCTCCAGGCTCTGAGCTGTCAGCACAGAGCGGTCGTGGGGCTCCCACTCACAAATGGGGAGATCATGACCTGAGCCGAAGTCGGACGCTTAACGGCTTAACCAACTGAGCCACCCAGGCGCCCAGGCAACTAATTAAAAAAAAAAAAAAAAAAAAAAAAAAAAAAAAAAGACACCTGGTCAAGCAAAAATGTTGGATTACTTTATGACTTTTTATTTCCTGTGGACAGATGATCAGGCAAAAGATGCAGTCACTCCTTACGCTATGCCTAGATTGTAGACGTTCTGGGAGGATTAAGGGTAAGTCATACTGGTATCTCCCTGTGAATTATGACATTG